GCGCTTCCTACGCGCGCCCAGACGCGCTCCCCCTCCCACCCGGGGAAGGGGCGCTGCAGCACGCGGCCGAGGCTTCCGTACCCGATGTGCGCGGAAAGCCTTCACGAGGTACCGGTAGGCTGCGGTGTCGCGATAGGGTCGGCCGGTGCCTGCGTTCATGTAGCGCAGTTCCCGTAGGAGGCCTCGCAAGGTGCGCGCCGGGGGCCCGAGCGCCGCCATGTTCCCGTCCTCGGAGCCGGTGCCCTAGGGCACCCTCCGCCCCGCCGGCTCACCCCCAAGCCCAGCCGCTGGATGGTACGGTCGGACCCACTCTGCCGGCTCCCCTCGCGGATCGGAAACCAGAGCGTGTCTCACTTCCCGTCTCTGCGGAGCCTTATTAATCGAACGCCGGGCGGGGCCCTAAGGAGTTAAGGAAAAAGCAAAGGAAAGCCGAGCGTGGCAGACGAGCTGGGAGAAAGGCCGGCGAGGGGAAGGAAGCCCTTTCCTGACTGCGTCACTGGAGGTGGCATTAGCTAACCGACGTCTTGAGCCTCGAGAAAATGAGAGCCTGGCGCGAACGAGTGTCGATTTGGAACAGAAGACGCTGAGAAGATGTTCTTTCTAGGAGGGATAACAAAACTCAACGTATTGACGTCCAAAAATCAGAGGAGGAAGAAGGGAGTATGCGACCCTAGTGAACTAACCAAACACCTAGGAAAACCTCACATGCACGTCTTATTTTTAAAAAGTACAATTAAATTAGCATATTTCGCTCTAATTGTTTAAGAAAGTACAAACAAAAAAAAGCCTTACCACCCCAGATGGGACTCGAACCCACAATCCCTGGCTTAGGAGGCCAATGCCTTATCCATTAGGCCACTGGGGCTTCTGCGAGTGACGCCCTAAAACAACGTATTCAATTTTTTTTCTTTGGTACGTCATTGTCACTTAAGCTCCTGTTTAACCTATCCTGGGAGACCACACCTATTACCAATATGAGGGACCAGGCATGCTGGGAGTTGTAGTTAAGAGAACAAAGGGCTGCGACACAGCTCCAAAGGCTTTTCCCCCGAAACCGCACGGTTGCGCCCAACGGGTGGGACGGGCGCGTGCACGGGTTTGCCTACGCGTTTCCTGCGTGGTGGTCCCGCGCCTGCGCAGAAGCTGGCTTGCGACGCCGCGGAGCCGAGCACGCTGGACACACTGGCCGAATCCCGAGAATCGCCCTTTTAGCCTCTGCTCTGTGGGGTCTTCACTGGAAACCGCCGGCCCCTTCCGGTGCTGCGCCATTCCGGACTCACTTTGCTTCTCGCTCGCCGTTAGGGGGCGCTCGCAGCGGCCATTTTCTGTTTCTGGTTGAAGGGCTGAGGCCGTTTCCGCAGAGCCAGTGGCGGGGAAGACTTGCGTCCCTTGTCGTCTGAATTGGCGGCTCAGTGATGAACAGGGGACAGCGGGGAATTAGTACTTAATGCAGTAGGAATTAATTAGGAGTAATTCGGAGTTAGTTCATTTTCTGGTTCCGTTCCTAATTGTATGTATAACTTGGACAAGTCACTTACCTGAGACTCAGTGAACTTAACCTTTGATTACCACCTTGCAGTGGCTCCCCATTGCCTTTGAATGCAGCCCCGACTCCTGGACCCTGCCCAGACTGACCCGTTTCCACCTTCAGCCCTAACTGCTGTTAACGCTCACCGCCTGCTGCAGGTCTGAACCTCGCTCACTGTCCTCGCCACCCGTGTTCTTCTGTCTGAAACCTGAACCGTCTGTGTTACCTCTTGGGCTTCAAGTTTCTTTGGGAAGTCCAGGTCGGTCATTTCCCTAGCCCTAGTGGTCAATATGGCAAGGTTAAAATTCACTTCACTTTCTCTGGGCTCCTCTAGGTTACCTGTGTAAGTTATATTTTTTACAGCTAGGTCACCCGTCAGCGCCCCCACTTCCACACGGGCCAAGTGCACCTGCTCGGACACAGGGTTCCCCCCGAACAGGCTCTCCTCGGCGTCAGGTCCGCCGCTCCAGCTGGGCCAACTTTATGTAATCTTTCATATTTTGGCCAGAGTCCTGACGCTTCCAGAATCAACAGAAGAGGAAACTAGTATGACTTTATATGAATGAACGAATCTCTCCCTGTTACACTCATAAAATATTCGTCAACTTGTAATTTACAAGTATCTGACGTTTAAGGGCAAATATGCATGCAGGAGGGGTTAGGGAGAATGCTATCATTTATTCTCCTCTTAATATAAAAATTTGTTAGAAACAGATGTAATGAATTTAAGCCAGCTCTGAGTAAGTGGGAGAATTTATAGGAAGGTCTTCAATAACTGCTGATCTGTTGTAAGAGGCAGTAAGAAGTGATTTTGAATTCCTTTTTACTGAGCTGCCAAGAGACTTTTCTTTCTCCCTAAGCCATTCTAACACTAAGGTATTCTAAATAATCATGTTAGCTCTAAAAATAATTCTTTTTAAGTTAGCTCTATGTAGCTACTAGTCTCCATATCTGCCGCCCCCCAATTAGTCTTCTCCTGTGTGTGTGTGTTGCCTCTTATATCAAGGAGATGCTTATTTCCCATCCCACCCATCCCTCCCCCTTTTGAATCTCAGGCCAACCTTGTGACTAGCTTTGACCAACAGAATGCAGCAGAAGTGACATTCTTGGAATGCCAGGCCTTAGAAGTGGCAACCTCACTTTCTGCTTATCTAGTTACCATGCGGTGCAAGCCGCAAGGCGCACGGAGGGGAACTGGGACGGGCCCAGCTAAGCCTTCAGCTGACAGCACCAATTACCCGCCACGTCTCAGTCAACATCGTATGGAACAGAGACTTGCCCAGCTAAACCCAGTCAATCCCAAGAAACATTAAAGACAATAAAATGGCTGTTTAGGAATAATTCCACTGTTTTGAAATGACTGTGCAATGGAAAACCAAATCAGTCTGAAAAGTTTCTTATGATACAATTTAGCTGAACTTTTAAATTCTGCAGCTTTAGAAAATCTTTCAATTCCTAGTGCAGGGCTACAAACTCAAACCCTACAGCAGGGACCAGGCAGGTAACAGAGTGAATCAGGCCAGGTGGGTTCGTTCCTACCTCCTCCAAAGGAGCTAGACACTTCAGCTCAATCTCATTGTTGCAGAGTAAGAGTGTGGTCCCACTACTGCCAGAGCTTCTGATTTTTTTTCAAGAGAAGTTGTACATACAGAATTTTCATGAAATGCCATAACTTTTCAATGTTAGCAGCCAGTTAAAAACAACAGTCAAAATACTTCTGTTGGCCTTATATAACCTAGGGTTGCAAGTGTGTGAACTATGTCCCAGGGCATTTTACAGGTAATGTCTCTTTTGACCTCACCACAATCCTGAGGTAGTACTCCGGTTTTACCCACTTACAAATGTGGGAACAATCTAAGCAGTTTCATGACTTAGCCAACTGGTCAATGAATGGCAAAGCTGCTGTTTGACCCCATGGAATCTAACTCAAAGCCTTTTTTTCCCTTCAAATTTTATGAGAAAGTTTATTTAGAAAGTCATAGAGGTAGAAAAGATGAGCTAGCTGGGCTGTGTGGGCTCAGTAAATGAGTTACAGAGGCAAAAGAAGGGCCTTGGAGGTTAGGAAAAAGAATGCACCTGGGGGAAGGAGAGGGGAGAAGGCACAGGCTTGCTCGAGAGAGACAGCCTGCTCGAAGTCTATTTAAAATTTTAGTTTTATAGCAGAAAAGGAATTTTTATTAAAAAGATGATGGGTGATTCTCAGAATTTCCTGTTGTTAGAAATCAGGCTTGGAAGCTATACAGCCAAGAACCTCACCCAAAATCCTGCCCCAGATCTGGTACAGTGAAACCACCAGCAGGCACAGTCACCACAGCTTGCAAGGCTGACACAGTGACAATGGACAGGGACTGGACACCAACACCGAAGCTGCTGCTCCAGTACACTGCCTAGAGCTGGCTTCTCTCCTTCCACTTGTGCCAGAATGAATTAAGTCATTACCTAAGAGTCATGTTCTGAGGTGAGGACTTGTGCTTAGCATGGCCTGGGGCATGTCATAGGAGGCTGGGAAAGCAAGTATTTTATCATTCAGTGAATTTTATATTGATCATCTGCTATGAGTCCAGTATTCTTCAAGATGCTAGGGAAACAAAAGCAAGCAGAGTCGGTAAAACATTTATACTCATGAAGCTTCCATTGTAGAAAGGTGGACAGACAAAAATCATACAAACAAGTAAAACATAAAACTTGTCAAATGGTGGAGTGCTATAGAGAAAAAATCAAGCCAGGGGCAGGGAATTGGGACCTGCTGCTTTATCATGTCTTCAGGGAGGTCCTTACTGATAGGTGACATTTGAGTAGAGACACAAATGATGTGAAGGCACCTTCAGCTTGTGTGTACAAGTGTTGGGGTGGGGCAATGCCCATACTTTTAAGTAGAGAGACCCTACCCCCATTCCCGAGCCACTGTGAGGCCAACATTTTCTGTCCTTCAAGCTGAGGGGAAAGGAGTTGTTTGGGACAAGTTTTCTATGCCCAGTGAAACTGTGGAAACAGACCTGGGGTCCAGTCTTCCTTCACTCTGCAGCTACAGCAGTGACTGGCCACCTGGCCATGCAAATGGAAATTTGGGGGAAATGTTGGTGGGGAAGAGCCAAGGACTAATGAAAGAGGGTGTATCTGAGAGCATATACACCTGTAGGTACTCATTTCCATCAACTGTGATTGTATAGATATGTGTCCTAAAGCATGGATTTTTTTTCACATGGCCCACATTAGCTCTCATTCTGACCAGTGGGCCATAGTAAAAGTGCAGCCATGGGCCCTCGCCATTGTGGCTCAGTTGGTTGGAACATGGTCTTGTACACCAAAAGGTGGCAAGTTTGATTCATGGTCAGGGCACATACCCAGGTTTTGGGTTCGATCCCTGTCCAGGGCGCATAAAGGAGGCAACTGATCGATGTTTCTCTCTCACATTGATATTCCTCTCTCTCTCCCCCCAAAATCAATTAAAACATACTTTTAAAAAAAAGTTAATCCATGGGTTAACTGTAGCTCAGAGCCAATGTTCAGTAATCCCCAAAAGTGGTGTGCTATCTCTATAGTGCACAGCCATCCTTGCAAAATGATAGAAGAGAGAAGGCCATTGGAGAAGGCCAGAGAAAGACTGACATTACTTACATGTGATATAATCTTCGGGCCTTTTCTCAAGGGTTTTCTGGACTCCCTCCTTCACTGATGGGCTTTCAGGTCTGTGAACTG